GGAAAAGTAACTGAGTATGGAATATACTTTTAAAGATTTTGAAGCCATTCAGTGTAACGCTAATGAATGAGAAAGACATTATAGATTGCTAAGGCATAGTCTTCTAGCTAAGAGTCCCCTTTGTAGATCATTACCACTCCCAACAAAAGCTTGGTCCATTTCAGACAAACATTTGTTCTCTCAGCTGAAGCACAAACTAATCTCTGCCAGATTACAGCCATGTTGCATTCTCTAAGCGTCCATAACAAAAGCTGTACACTTCTTTGGGGAGGTATCCAAATGGCCTCACAGCCCATGTGGCTTTTGCAAGCCATTTAAAGCTTCGGATTACATTTTTTACAATCAGGATGAATCATCACATGTAGAGCACCAGCAGCTGTTGAACACTACAAGCAACTAACTGCATTTAACTATATTTCAACAGATTGCATCAGCCCACTTCCTATCCACACCTGAAACCTGTTACCTTCTTCAAATATACTTATTCTATTTCAACGTTTACTGCCCCACTCTTCAAGACAGGTTCTCATAACAGCTTTCAACACAAAGCTATAAAAATCCAGTTAAGTTAAAATTAGCAACAATTGTAGCAAAAACAACAGCCGCCTAACGAGATGAAATCCAAGTTAAAATAAGACCCCCCAAAATGATAACATTTACACTAGGAGTTGCTCCCTGCTACTGAGATGCCAGCTCACTTTCACAAATTGCTGCTCATACAACCTTGTGTGAGTTCAGCACACTTACACTACACTGACTGTATGAGAAGGCAGCACTATGAAGAAGGATTGGCAGGAATAAGCTGGAAGTCAAATGTGAGGATTCAGCAAAGATGGACTTGCCTTGCACTAATTTGGAAAGTACACAAGTCTTCCCTGCTAAATTTGGAAGAATTCAAATAGTTCTTCAAAGCTAATTTGAGGGTGTGAGGAGGGTAAAGGGGCTCCAGAGGCAGATTCTTAGGATGGTGGCCCACTCTCAATCTCAGACATGTGAGCCTTCTAAGTCCAGTGCTGCTGTACCATCAGCTGGGGAACAGTACCACAATGCTAAACCTGAGCCGAATGACTACTGAACCTGAGCCAAAGGTCTTATGGGGTGGAGCTCAGGAAAGATAGACTGCCTGGAGGGACTCTTAAGGTGTCTAAGTTCACCTCCAGCTATTGTGGGAACAAGTTGCTTACTTGGAGCTTTCCAAGGTGCTGCAACCGCTGACCTGCCTCACACATATCTGCACAGATGGGTCAGAACAGACAGGGTGGAGAGCCCTGGGGGCACAACTCCCCACACATATCCTCTGGATCTGCTCCTACAGCTTCTTCTGCCTGTTCCATAGGAGCGAGTGGAGTGATACTGATCCTTTTGGTCCTATGGGGGTAATACAAAGGGGGCTTCAGGGACAAAGTTCAAGAGTGGGGCACCCATCCCCTCTGGGGGATGGGTGGGGTCTAAATGCCCCATTCTGAGAATGTGTCTTTACCTTTTCCCCATAGGACTGAGGGGGTTTCACAGCTGAGAGAGTTGAAGGAGTGTTTAGATAAAAATCCAAGTTGGATGGAAGTTCAGGGGTTTTATTTGAGGTTGGGCTTTACAAAGAAAGGCTTTGGCATTGGTTCCTAAGCCTGGCTTGAGTGAAGTTCACTGGCATCCCTAGAATCCAAGGAGATGCATTCACACCCTGGCCCTTCTCATGTGAATCCACTGGTATGGAAGCCCCATGAACATGCCAACAAGACACTTCTGCCGCTGGACTCTAACCATGGTCCTGAACCAGACCTTGATATTTATCCATGGGCCTCACCATATTTCACAACGTTTTCCAGAACTCTGGGCCTATTGATCTCCACCTCGTTTGGGCCATCATCTTCCCTTGGTGGTAAGCATCACTATGGATCAAGACAGCTGACTCATAGGCTTTGCAGAAAAGAGAAAGCTGCACCACTTTCAGAAATCTTTCTCTCCCCCCCTTTTCAAATTTCACTCTGAGACTTCTGTGCAATACAGAAGCTCACATTAAGCATTTGAAACACCACTTAGTCCTAGCAGCAACTACTGCAACTTACTCCTGTTAAGTACACTAAAATAATAATAAATAATAAATTTTTATTTATACCCCGCCCTTCCTGGTTCAGAAACCCGGGCTCAGGACGGCTAACAACAAATTTAAAGCACTTAATTGTAATGCAACATAAAAGCAGCATAAAATACAGTATAAAAGCATGAATAACAATGAAATTCAAAGTTCAAAAATCAATTTGAGGGAAATCCATCCAATAAACATTAGATAGTCACCAGGGCTAGCTGGCTAAATTAGACCTACTTGGGCCAGCGAGGAGGCCAGGGGAGAATTAGCTGTGGGGTCCCAGAGTGGGTAATCTTCATAAAAAGGGGGGAGGGGGAAGAGAAGGGAAATAAAAGATCAGGCTGAGTTCAAATTAAAGGCCAGGCAGAATAGCCCTCCTTTGGGCACAGTTCTGAAAAAGTGACTGAAACAGACCGGCTTGAGCCAAATGCAGGACCTTGGAGCTAGAACACACACACACACACACACACACACAAACAAACACATATATCCACATTGCTACATTTCCTCCCCACCCAACCCCACCTTCTTGCCTTCTCCAGTCATTTTAATCTGGCAAGGAAGCCTGAAGAATATATTCAATTATTTTTAATGGTCAGCTTTTTGTAGTCGGATAGACAATAAGCCACAAGATTACACCACACATTTCCGAGTTGCCCAGACGGAAAAGGACTTCATCAGCTGTGTTTGCAATTACTAGCAATGACTCCCATCTCCCCAACAAGAAGCCTGAGTTAAAACTCCCATAAAATCCACTGAGATTCAATTTGTGCAGAGTGATGCCAGCTTAGCTATTTGTATAATTAAGACATTGTATTGCAAAACAGAAACTAGTTCAGTTTCGAACTCTCCGGCTGAAGAGTCAAACATTTGCTCATGCACATAGCAAGGGGGGAGAGGGGTCTAATTTATTTAGTTATTTTAACAAAGGGGGGACATGCAGCTGATTTCCACGTCCTTAACTCCCTGAGCTCCATCTTGTAAGAACATACGGCAAGTCCACTGGACCATCTTGTCTAACATCCTGTTCTTACAGCAGCCAACCAGATGCCCGCAGGAAGCCTTCAAGTTAGAGAAGAGCACAACAGCACTGTGCACCCAAAATTTCCAGCAACTGCTGTTCAGAAGAATAATGCCTCCCACAGCAGAGCTAGAACATAGCCATCCTGCAAACCCTTTCCCCGCTCTGTCCAGCTCCAATACCAAAAGCAAACTGGAACCGGGGTGGTGACTGCTGGCTGCAGTACATCTCAGTAAGGTAAGATAGGGATGGATTCAACTCCTCTCACTCACACAGCCACTGTGTTGTAAATATCATTTGGATTGAACAAACAGATATGACTGCCACATCCACATGCATCATTTGGCCCTAGCAGCCAGTGCTATTTAGTGATAATGGTGTTGGACTTGGACCGGGGGCTCAGATACATGGATCTCCATGAAACTTAAGGCTGGCATCACTCACTCTTTTTACCTCTCAGAGTTGGCATGTAGATATAACCTGGTAGCTCAATGTATGCCTGCTCCAAGCTCCTTGGAGGAAGAGCACAATGCAAAATGTGAACAGAACTCTAGCCAAAAAAAAAAAAGTTCACCGTGAGAATGTTCTTGCTTGAACAGATTTTACCGCATTTATTTATGAGGCTCTTACTCAAATTAAGCAGTGGAGCTTTCTTTAGCTTCAGCACATTTAAGGAGAACCCTGCAAAAAGTGCTGAAACATCAGTTTGATCAAGCAAAAACCAACTGTATTTCATGTCAAAGAAAGGCAGGCCATTTGGCCCGTGAAATAGCTTCCAAAGTTCCCTTCCCGAGACTGGATCTCTCAGGATACTGTATTTTAAATACTCACATTCATAGCAGCTCCTCCCGCCCTGCCAATATTCACTTCCGATTCACAAATCGGAGTTCAATCCAGATGGCTTTTTTATTTTAAAATGAAGAGTACAACGCATGAACTGCCAGTTTATATATTGAGAAAAAACATCATTTCTGTTAGGACTACTAGTAGTGTGTTATTAATTTAGGGAATGGTGATAATAGAATTTATATAGCAACTGGGAATGCTGTTTGACGCATTTTTCCTCAAACCAGCTTAAATCTAAAAATAATGATAATAATTACCTGCAATCGCTTCATACTTAAGAATGTTGTGAATGTTTGAGACAGCTGTCAGGCATGCATAGATGTCAACATAATAGGATTTCTGGTTGTAAGGGTCTTGCAGGGGCAGAGAAACCATTTGTATGGGGTGAAAACATCCCTACCCCACATGAACAACACTGTGCAAATGCAGCTTGAAACCCAGTGGGAGAAATGACCTTACTGCTAATGTGAACACAACCCCACACACAGAAGAAGAAGAAGAAGAAGAAGAAGAAGAAGAAGAAGAAGAAGAAGAAGAAGAAGAGGAGGAAGAAGAAGAAGAAGAATGCTCTAAGATCAACAAGCAATTTCATGGTGGACGTGAGACTGCAGTCGGAGACTTCATAATTCATAGCTCAGCCTCTTAGTCAGATCAAGAAATATTCTCTTTCTTACAGTTGTCCAATCACACTTTATAAAAAATATTGCCAAGTTACTTTTCCATGAATTTTGTTTTCTTCACAAATTGTGACTTGGGGCTAAATAGCATCAGTGGCTATTTTAGGCATTTGCTAACTTTTGGGGGAAATGCACAGTTAACTAGTAGTTTGACAAGGTACTACATGGATAACAAGAAACAATTACATTGTTTCACTGATAACTTGCATGCCAGAGTATTTGTTGTTTAATTTTGGGGCACTTAATTTTCAGCCTGAGCTGTGGTCCTTTTATACTTAATGGAGGAAGACAAATTTTGCTGAGGTTCATGAGCAGGGACTTGTGTATTGTTTTAGAAAAATCTCTGTACTGAACTGAATTTATTAAGGAAGTTGAGCAAAAAGAAAGAAAGAAACTTGGCACAGAAAATCTCTATTGAAGAGCAGTTAGGTATCTCCATATACAAAATCAATAGAGATTTTCTGTGCCAAGTTTCTTTCTTTCTTTTTGCTCAACTTCCTTAATAAATTCAGTTTTATATTAGATCTGGTCCCTGATATATCTATCTGCAACTAATCTTAGAAGAATACAGAGAGTATGAATTCAAAATGTGGCTAGCCAGAAGGTACTCAGTTTCACTTTCTATAAAATGGAGACATCTCCCTGAAATAGGAAACAGTTTGCACATCCATCAAGTGCTCATATCCTAGGTCAGGCACCAAATAACTTAGCTAGTTCATGCATAATAACTATAAGGGTGGGGTATCTGTGCAATATTTCTTGTTTAAAATTAATGCCAACTCCAAATGACCACATGAGCCTGCAGTGTCCATGCATTCACTATGTGATCCTGGAATGTACTAGCTCAAATAGAAAAGCTTTTCAAGTAATAAAACAAGAAAAACAAAAAGATGCAAGACAGCAGCAGGAGACCAAGGAAAGGTACAGGTACAATGAAAAAGAAGTATTACACAAGTGAAAATGTGGAAGGTATGGATTATTTGCTTTTAATGAACCATTTAAAGACTAAACTGTGAAGTCAAAAACTAAATGTGATGAAAAACTGGTTAAGAAACAATCCAAATACACAATGCCTTCAGCTACATATGCAAAATTCAGAGGAAAAACTCCAGCCATCTGCTTTGCAATAATAATAAAAAAGCAGTTGCCTTTTATTCATGTAGCCTTTTTTCTGAAAGCTCTTAGTCAGGACTTGTCACTCACACTAACTCAAGCTTCCCAAAGATTGTTCAACAGTTTGGCAAAATAATCAAGTTCAAGCTCCTTCGTGTCCACCACTGTGTTGTTCTCCCACAACATCCCAGCATTAGAGATATTACTCAGCTGACAAATAGAATCCTATTCTAATATTTATCATGATGTATTGTAAACACTACTCAGCTTAGGCTATTGCACTGCAGTATATATTCATCTGGAAAACCAAAGGTTGTTAAACCACAGCTTAAGATGAGTACCTTATGGAGAGAACCAGTGAGGGATGCCAGATCTCCTGAGGCTCATAATCTGAGACTAATGGCACACCTATGCACATGTAAGACACATGGCTTCCCCAAGGAAACCTGAGAAATGTAGTTTACCCTTCACATCCAGCAGCCTTAACAAAATACATTTCCCAGGATTCTTTGGGAGTGATGGCAGCAAGTAAGGAGTAGGGCCTAGGCTGGGGAAGATGGCAAAACTTGTTTGGGGGAAACCAAGGTGCCTTGGACGGGACGCGGTTGGCGCAGCGGTCTAAACCACAGAGCCTAGGGGTTGCCGATCAGAAGATCGGCGATTCGAATCCCCGCCATGGGGTGAGCTCACGTTGCTCGGTCCCAGTTCCTGCCAACCTAGCAGTTCGAAAGCACGTCAAAGTGCAAGTAGATAAATAGGTGCCACTCCGGCAGGAAGGTAAACGGCGTTCCCGTGCGCTGCTCTGGTTCGCCAGAAGCGGCTTAGTCATGCTGGCCACATGACCCGGAAGCTGTACACCGGCTCCCTCGGCCAATAAAGCAAGATGTGTGCCGCAACCCCAGAGTCGGCCATGACTGGACCTAATGGTCAGGGGTCCCTTTACCTTTATTCATGAACAACACACAAAGTAACATAAATTGAGAAAACTCACACAAATATTGTTTGATGCACCTTTTCCTCCTTAGAAATAAAAGATGGAAAAGATTCCAAATGAAGCATAGCTAGAATGTGTGCCGTGAGGTATAACTTCAGCCTAATTATGCAACCATGTTTCCTATCCTCCATGAATTTATAATCTTAGATTCTTAGATGAGTGCCAATGTATTTCTTTGTTATGCTGTTGGACTGCAAGATGTGCATTACTAGGACACCTACATAAATATTAAATTGGGACACTAATCTTATTTCTGCTGCACCGCGTTTCCTGAAGTGACAGGATCAGGTTGTATGTGTGTGTTTTAAAGAGAAAACCTACTTTCAGTACCAGAGAAAATCTTTGGAACATTAAATCAGATTTGTCACCAGCTGACATTACCAAAGAAAATAAGTTACAATTTCAAACCTGTTGTTCAAGTGTTGTGTATCCTAACGCTCCAAGGAAGGTTGCAAGCATGCGTTTTGTCCATTTCAACAATGCAGAATCAGCCGAAAGACCACTCAATGAAAGACCAAGTGTTCTCTCTACAGTATTGGTCTGCTTAATTAATGGCAGCCAAATACTGGGGATCGGTTACTGTGACAGCTAAAAACTAGTCCGTCTAATTGCCAAATTGTCACTTTGCCCAGTTAGAGGCTAGCTGTTTGTTTACCATAAATTGCCTAATCCACAAAGCCTGTTCCTAACAGATGAAGTCATGCTAAGCCCAGAGGGAGTTATCCGCTACGTTCACACATGCACAGTGTGTTCCTTACTACTACTGTTAAACTTCTGAACCAAGGAAAATCGAATCTTCAACAAAAGGCATTTGTACCAGCTAGATGCTGCCCAATTTCTGTTTTCAAGACCACTGCAAGTCCTGGCCCTCCTCTAGTTCAGCAAAAGACACTGTTACCAAAGTGAAAAGCTTCTACAGTGGTACCTCAGGTTACATACGCTTCAGGTTACAGACACCGCTAACCCAGAAATAGTACCTCGGGTTAAGAACTTTGCTTCAGGATGAGAACAGAAATTGTGCAGCGGCGGCATGGCAACAGTGGGAGGCCCCATTAGCTAAAGTGGTGCTTCAGGTTAAGAACAGTTTCAGGTTAAGAACAGACCTCCGGAACGAATTAAGTACGTAACCAGACGTACCACTGTATCTGAATTACTCCTGATTTCTTTTAGCAAGGAAATGGTGAGATTTCCAGAAACTTACATTTTGTATATGTTTGGTATCATTGCCCACACAATAAAGTGGGTTAAACAAATTCAGCCCCGCCCCACAAATATTACAAAAAAAATCCCAAAGCCCAATCCTGTTAACAATGAAACCCAGTATACCCATTCAACATCTTGTTCAGTATTTCTTCTCCTTCAACTCTCCATTAGTAACACTATACGACAGGCTAGCATTCCATCTCCTTGGTCTATTCTTCAGAACGGAACTGTCAAGCTAAAATGTGAATGTTGTGTGAATTGGTTTCCTTAAGGGCAACAAGTTTGTAAGCACTCTGCCCAACTGCCCGATTTTTTTTTTTTTCAATGGAAGCTCTACACGCTAAATTCCTACTATGGCAATTAATTGAACTGGCTGCAGTACTTGCCAATTCTCCAGATACAGTAGTATAACGTGCAGTACACTGATGAGGTCATAGCTCCACTAATTAACAAGGACTTTGCAATGAATGATTGTTGTCTTCAGACTGAAATGATATGCTCTGTGTCTCGACATTATTTAGCACCAGTGATCCAAATGATGGTTTACTAAATGATCACCTATCCAGGCAGAAGTGTCCAGCTAGCCAAAAGTCATCTAGTAAGTTCAGGGCTCAGGTGTGGTGACCACAGTATGGAAGCATAACATGAGGAGAAGATAGAGGAGGACTGCCCGTATAAATATGTGCCCCAACCTGGTCTCCATGTAGCTTACTCTCCAAGTGACTTAGAGGCTCACCATTTTTTTCTGCTTGCATGCTCAAAGCCACTTCTGACATCAGGAAGAGGTGTGTTGTGGGCTTCACACCCCCAACACACATGTGGGGCTGGCTTCCAGCCCCCACGCGAACAGGGGAATCCTCGGGCCGCGTCATCTCCTGAACCAGCCAATCGGCTGGCTCGGGGGGCATGGCTTGCCTCATTTAAGCCAGGCGCGGCCCCTGGATCTCCCTTTTTGGGTCCCCGCAGCTGGTAAGGTTTTCCCACCCGCCCGCCCTTAAGGTTCCCTTTTGACCTTGCTATGGACCTTGGTTGGTCGCCGTTAAGGGGCCTGGTAGGAATTTTTCCCACTTGGCAAATTGGCACTGGCCATTTGGTTTTTCGCCTACCTCGTAGCAAATCATCACAACTCACTTGGTTTTGGCGGTTAGGCATTGGTAGGGGTATTGTTATGCAGATCTGTTGGGGGGGAGGAGTGCCATCACCTCCCCCAAATATTGAAGGGTAGTCCGGTAAAGGATTCTGGGGGGCGTAGCCTCGTCCGAAACTTATGGAGGCCAGGGCCTAAAGCGCCCCCCCGAGCGGTGACCCCAGGGGAGTACCTAGTTGATGTGCATCAGCAGGGCTCCCCCTGCTGGTGTTAACCCTTCCCGGTCTTCAAGCAAGCAGGCTGAAGCCGGATAGTCGGATAGGACTAATGCCTAAGCCAATACCGCTCTTTACCTTTAACCAATAAAGTTGTGGCCTAATTTCGCTCATTAACCTTAGATATCTGTGTCACGTGTCTTTATTTCTACTGGTTGGAGGCGGGAAGTCGCCACGCAACACACAGCTGATGCAACAACTGAGTACTATGATTCATTGTATGGCTTCAGAATTACCACAACATGAAATACAGCAAGTTCTGTTTACCTGTATGATAGTATTTTCTATTTCTGGCTACAGGTGCCAACAGGTGTACTTGAAGGCAGATTTTCAAACTGAACAAAGCCAATTCACATATGCTGGCTTCAGGCATTAGGCCTGTTGGAAGACCAACTCTGCAACACAGATATGTCTGCAAAGGTGACAGGAAGGCTGGAAACATTAACCCACCCACCCCCATGTGGGGTCTGCATGATCTATGGAGGCTGAAGCACAGAGCATGCACACTTTTGCTGCACCTTTCAATATATTTTTTTCAGGTTATCTGCATCTTCCCTACCCAACCACCCCAATCATCAAGGGGGACATATGCATTGCTAAACAGAAGCCCCTACCAACCCTGCTCCCCAGTGTATTTCCAATGTGCAGGAGGACCTGTGTACATCAGTAAAACACTACACAAAAAGAAGCTTAATGAAATGGTGCAAAGAATCATACCCAGGAAACTTCTGAATGTTTTTATCTACGTGCACATTTTCAACAGTAAAATTAGAGAGGGGAGGGGAGGAGATACAGTTGTACCTCGGATTACAGATGCTTC